AAAAACATTCTCCAGTAATTCTAGTTTTTTGTTTTGTCTAGTTTCCGAACTTCAAAATTCCCATGTAAAATTTCACTGCAGCTGTTACACAGCACAAAACGCATAATTAACAGATATCTCAGGCTTTTTAGGGATAAATGAAAAAAAAAATCACATTTGCGTGCAAAAAATTCAAGAACGGCGAGGGGAAGCTCACCGAGTTACTGCAAAATTTGAAAGCGATGCGACTGTGAAGGGTGGTTCATCCGGCAAAATCGACTTGTAGCCTCCGGAATCTATTAACGACCTATAACCAGCACTTTTTTCGGGCACCGGTGGTGGAGCACGGTTATGGTCCACATTGGCCGACGTGGACGATGATGATGACGACGAAACAGCTTTCAGCCACCTGTAACACATAATACGGCATAAAAAAAGGCGTAAAAAACAGCGACAGCCCAGTGTCTCGGGATTAAGCAATCCCAGGATTTGTTTGGTTAATCCTGGGATACTCGGCTGCCACCGATATGAACCCTAGGATTTGGTGGCGTGTAAAACTGGTTCGAGCAGTACAATGCATAATTGAACTGTATGCAAACTGTGCACTAGAAGATGCAATATTCTCATACAGAACTCGCAAAAAAAAGCAAAATAGACAGAAAAACAACCAGAAGCATCCTTTTTGACTAATTACTGAACTGCTAGTAAAATTCTGTTCACGAAAATGACCCGCCATGTTGACCAAAAGGAGCTGAAGCACCGGTCAAAGAGTCTAGGAGGGTTGCCAGCTAGAACTTTGAATATTTTATGGTTATGAAAAAGGCTGTAACAAAAAGTAATAATCAAAAATAGAAATAAAAACTGAATTGGAATGTTTCGATCCAATAAGTCGTATACGTTTCCATTCAGTGCTGCAACTAGGCCTCGTTAGTATGAAAATCAGACTCAAAACTGAAGTTTTCCACTGTTTTTCTACCAAATTATTCTTGAGTTTCACAGCTTACACAATATTTGCATACAGTACTTTTTTATTACAAGTCCAACGGTATATTCTTC